AGAAGGCATGGGGGGGGGGGGTCAGCACCCCCAGGCTGCAGCTGGAACAGTTGAGACCTCCAGTGCAAGGCAGCCCCATTGCCCCAAGGGAGAAACTGAGACAGGGAGCAGGGGGAGTGGCAACAGCCAGTCCCCAGCCCTCCAGGATAACCCCCTCGTCCAGGCCCCCCCCCCCAGCAGTAGACCTGGCCCCTCCTGCTGCTGCACCTGGTGCCCTCATTTCCACATCAAGGGTCCTATGCTGCCTTGGTGAGAGGGAAATGAACTGGTGCCACAGCAGGTGCCAGCACTGGGGGAGGTGGTGTCAGCAAAGCAGAGGCCCTTACCCAGCCTTCCTGTGCCCACAGCCTCGGGCAGTGGGGGTAGGTGGCAGGTTCAGTACCCCAAGGCTGACCTGGATACCACCAGTGACCAGGGGGAGGGTGACCCACAGCCTGGCACCCCTCTGCAGGCCTGGCCGCTGCCCTGGTGCCCCCCTTGCCCCCCGGCAGGAAGATGCTGGCAGGCGGCAGGTAAAAGTAGTGTTGCTTTAATGGGCCAGGCCTGGCTGGTGCCAGGCTGTGCCCAGGCCGGAGGCCGCAGTCCTATGAGGGGAAGGCTGTAGCTGTCCCCAGCCCCGTCCCCTCAGCTGCTGGGGACTTGGGGTCATCACATGTGGCCACAGTCCGGGTGGGGAGGTTGAGGGGGGCAATAAATAAGCTGTGGGAGGGGGCTGGGTGGGGTCAGGGAGGCTTGGGCTCAGGGTGGCTCTTGAGCTTGTGGAACTTGACGCTGTCGAGGCGCTCAAAGCGTTTGCCGCAGAGCTCGCAGGGGAAAGGGTAGTGCAGCTCGCCCCGGTGCTTCTTCATGTGCCAGTTGAGGGAGGCACGCTGCCGGCACTGGTACCCGCAGATCTCGCACCTAGATGGGTATGGGGGGGAGACGGGGTCAGGCTTGGGCATAGACCCCTACCCTACTCCTCCACAGTTCCCAGCATGCAGTGACACCCCACACCCAGCATGCATGCAACACCCCACTGAAACCCCACACCCTGGCCCCAGCATGCTGTGGGGGGCGGGAATCTGCAACCCCTCCACCCCAGTCCCAGCTGCTGCCCATGCCAGGCACCCCAGGCTCTAGCGTGCTCATCTTGAGGGCACCTATAATCCAGATGCCTCAATGTGAGCTCTACGAACGCCTCGATACCGGCTCTATATGGGCCCAGTGGATGCCTCGATACCAGCTCAGCAAGTGCTTCCACATGAGCTCCGTAGGTGCGTGGGAGAAAGCAGCCGCATGGCCAATACCTGGCGAGGGCCCTGCTGTGCCTCCAGCTCCCAGCCCAGCCCCAACTCACTGCAGCGGCGTCTCCCCGGTGTGCGTGCGCCGATGCACCTCCAGGTGGTTCTTGCGCTTGAAGGACTTCCCACAGGTTTCGCAGGTGAATTCACGGACACCTGTGGCGGGGTGGGAGGTGCAGTTCATGGAAGGCCTGCGAGCAGGTCCCCAGCAGGGCAGCCTGGCCCAGCACCCAGACCTGCCTGAAGGGGGCAACTGGCAGGGTCTCTGCTGCCCTCTAGTGGCTGACCAATGCAAGACCTAGAGCCCAGGCTTGTAAGAAGCAGCTAAGGGGGCACCTACGCCCGGGTCCCTGCACCTGTGACACTCATGGAGGGGCGCAACCCCAAAGGGTTGGGGGGCTGGGGAGCAAAGCATGGCCTGGGGAGTGGAGGAGACTCCCTGCAACACCCAGGCAGTTGGGCAGTCTAACAAAGTCAAGGTAGGGAGCTAGGGATCCCACAGTGCCCTGGGGACAGGGCAAGGTGGGGAGCAGCCACACCTGAGTTGATGATCATGTGCCGCCGCAGATGGTTGGACAGGTAGAACTTCTTCCCGCAGCCGGGGTGGGGACACACCTTGGTCTTGCCTTTCCGGTGCACCAGGTTGACGTGGTTCTGGGGTGAGGGGGGCAGGAGAGGCTGGCACTGAGCCCTGCTGCCCCAGCCTGCCCCCCCAAATCCGTCCCCTTCACGGCAAGAGATTTAACTCCCCCCTGCCCCCCAGCTCAAACTCCGCCTACATAAGGTGCCACTGACAATTTCCAAGCCCCTGTGAACCAGGAAGTGAAGCTAACCAGAGCAAGGGCTGTGCCCACTTCCTATGGTGGTAGGGAGGGCACAGAGTCAGGGTCAGGTATCCCCAGAGGCAGGGGCCCTACCTGGAAGCTGCTGAGGGCCACATAGACCTGGCTGCAGCCCTCGTAGGGGCAGTGAAACATCTCCAGCAGGCCATCAGCATCGGTCACCCGCCCCCGCTTGCTGCGGCGCCGCCTGCATACAAGACAGCCAGGGCCCATGACACACAGCACACAAGTGCTTACATGCACATGCTGGCCCATGAACCCAGCCTGTGTCTGACAGGGTTGGTGTGGGAGGGGAAGGGGCAAGTGAAGTCACTGGGAAGTGAGTGGGGGGTCCTGATGAGGCAGGAGCTACAGATCCCCCCAGACTGTACCCATAGAAGGGAGGTGTGAGCACCTTCCTGGCCCAGAAAGGGAAACTGAGACAGGAGCAGGGGCTGGGGCCAGGGCCCTTCATGCTTGCTGGGCCAGGCTGCCATGGCACCCCACCCCACACTCACTTCTCAGGCTCCTTGGGGATCTCATAAATGATGGCCGACATGTCACTGGCTTCAGGCTCTGTGCCCTCAGGGGACGGCTCCAGCTCAGGGGGCAGCGCTATGGCTGTGGGGGGCAGTGGCTCTTCCTTCTTCAGCCCAAACAGCTCATCCTTCTCTGCAGGGGAGCAAGGTGCTCGCTGCTGCCTGGCCAAACAACTCCCAGTCCCCCCTGCAAAGGGAGATCTGGATGCCCCCAAAATGCAGCTGTTTCCAGGACTAGGGGCAGCTCCAGCTGGCTGCCCTGTCAGCTGCCCCCTCACCCCACAGCAGTGGCACTGGCAGGGGGCACCCCTACTGTCGCCCGCCTGCAGCACAGCACCCATGTATTCCCTCTGCCTCCTAAGGTGCCCAGATCTCCCCTCCCCTCTATCGTGCCCCCTCCTGCAGCTCAGTGCCTGGGCCCACCCCCCTCCCAGGCCTCCCCCCACCCAGCCCTGGTACCTTTCTTGGTGTGGATGTTGCTGGGATCAGGGCCGGGGCTGGGGGCAGGAGGGCTGGGGGCAGGGGGTGCCGGCTCCGGCTCCGTCTGGGTGTAGGCGGCGACACCCTCAATGAGGGCACAGGGTCCGTCGTTGAGCTGCAGCCCATCATAGCCAGGGCCAGCAATGATGATGACCTGGGAGCCGGGCACCACGCCCTGCATAGGGCAGCCAGCCACCACCTCGCCCAATGCGTCTCGTGCCACCCCCTCGAAGAGGGCACCAGGTGCCGTGCCCACCTGCATGGGCATGGGCACACAAACCACTGCTTCCAGTGCCTCGGTGGCACCCAGCCGCCGCCCACCACCCACCTCGCCCGCCTCAAATGGGATGTGGATGCCGTCTGGTGTGATGAGCCCGCTGCTGGCACCTGTGCCCCCCTCTGTGGCTGCTGGGCCCTGCCCTGGGGCCTGGCGCGGCTCTGTGGGATCTTCTGAACTGGAGCTGGAGCTGTCATCTGAGGAGGCTGAGCTGCTGGGTCCCACGCCATTACCAACTGTGGGGGAGCAGTGGTGGGAGCAGCACTGAGTGTGATGTCTGCACCCAGGAACCCTCACTTTTCCCCATCAGCTCCCAGGGTCCCCCACCAGTGCAGAGGGACAGGCTGCCCCATCAGCACCCCTCACCTCATCCCGGTTGCCCCAGTGCTCCACCAGGCTCCAGACCCCTATCAGTGCTGGGGGCAGGAACAGCCCTGGGGCAAGGGGTTTAGCTCCCACCTCATCCTAGTGGCCCTAGTGCCCAGTCAGGCCCCTCTGGGAGCCAGAGGGGAAGGGGGAGAGCCCTGGCATGGCAGATTTATCCTAGCACTGACCCACTTCCACCAAGGGAACCTGTGAAAGAGCTGCCCAGGGGCCCCCATCTTGTCCCAGTTACCCCAGTGCCCACTGAGGCTCCTCTGTGCTTGGGGGGGGGCACACAACAGCCCTAGCACCAGAGGCTTAGCCTAGCACCAACCTGCTTCCACCAATGGAGCCCATGCAGGAGCTGGGGCCGCAAAAAGATGTGGTTGCCTCAGGTGGAATATAGCAGCCCTGACAGTGCCCTGCAGACCTGCCCCCCACCCCGCCATCATCCCAAGTCTTCCCTGACCGTCATCACTGTCATTCTCCGAGTCGCTGAGGGGCTTGAGGGGCGAGTGCAGGTCCTGGAAGTAGCGGTGCCCAGCCTCACATTGCCACACGGCCGTGGTGTAGAGCCCAAAGGTGGGGTCCAGTTCCGCCAGGTGCGGCTCATACGGGCACCGGTTCTTGTGGTCCTCGTACCAGATCACCATGTTCTTCAGGCAGTTCACATTGCGCCGTCTCCCTGGGAGCGGGAGACATTAGGGAGGGGATATGGGTAGAGGAGCCCTAGCACAATCCAACCCCCAGCCTGCACCTAGAGCAGAGGGCAGGGCCAGGGCTGCCCAGGGCTTTGCTCCCAGACTGAAGTCTCCCAGCCCAGGCGTGGGCAAGGGGAGCGGGGAACTGCCCCAAGGCAGCTCTGGCTGTGGAGACTAGGTGACCTGGGGTGGTGGGAGGTCTCCATGCTCCAGCCCAGCCCCCCACCCCAGCACTGTGAACACCACTTACTTTTCTTCCGCTTTGGCTTCTTAGGGATCTGCTCCCAAGGCTTCCTGCGACAGGGTGGGCATGAAGAAAGAGGGAGTCAGCTCAGGGCAAGTCCAGTCCCTGTCTTTGTGACATCAGTTGCTCAGTGCATTTAATAAGGGGAGGAAGGGCAGGGCCGAGGCCCCAGACAGTGGGGGAGATGCAGCACTGGGCCCAGCAAAACTCAGCCCCAGCAAGCAGCAGGGTCATGAGCCTTGAGAGAAGGTCACTTCTTCACCCTATTACAACCATTATGCAAGAGCCCTTGACAGAGGTGCAAATGATGGGAGAGTATTGGGGGATTGCAGACGTGGGAGGGGATGTGGGTACAGAGAAGCTGCAGGTGGGGGTCCAAGACAGAACACAGGTCCAGGAGTGCTGAGAGGGGGTGCAGAAAGCAGGGGGGCATGTCCCCTGCAGCACCTACATGCTACCCATTCGCCAGCCCCAGCAGAGAGGAGGGTACAAGGGTGTACGGGGTTCCCAGCCACTGGCAGGGCAGGGGCAAGGGGGTGCAAGGGGCTGGAGGTGCAGGTAATGGGGATGCAGGGAGCCCATCTCACCCAGGCCAGCTCATGTGCTACCTGTGCTCCAGCCCCAGCAGGTAGAAGGGCTGTGGGTACCGACGGTGTAAGCGCAGCGTCCAGGGAAGACGCAGGAGTCTCACCCACAGGCTCCCATGCGCTGCCCATGCTCCAGCCCAGGCAAGTGGGAAGGGGCTGCAGATGCAGGTGATGGGGTGCAGGCGCATGCAGGCCCTGCCCCAGCAGTGGGGAGGGGGAAGGGGCTATAAGGGCAGATGACAGGGGTGCGGGGGGGGGTGTTCCAGCGCAGGAGGGTGCAGGATGCAGTGCAGGAGAGGCTTCTCACCCACAGCAGCTGCCTAGCAGC